TGCATTTGTCATACTATTTTCTACTCCAAGTCATTTTATGTTCCATTTGCTTCTTTGACAATAATCCAGCACAGGAAAATACAGATTCGAATATATGTTATGTTTATCTTTAGATGGTCATGCAAATGTTTTTCCTCCTTGGCCAATGTTTAAAAAGAGGAGGAAAACCAGAAACAGCTTACATTTCCTGGGTGTATACTCTGGGCCAGGCAGGCACTGTGCTAAATGCTTTGCATGCATTGTCTTATTTAATTTCATTTTACAAATGAAGACAGGGAGGCACAGAGAGGTCAGGTTCCTTGCACAGGGTCACACAGCTGTTGAAGTGCAGGGGGTGGGGTGCTCGGATCCTTCGGGGCGCCTCTCCTCGAAACGCCTGCACTTAGCCAGTTCTGAGCCTGCCTGGTGCAAGGAAGAGATGACATCCAGAAGCATACGCAGCATCTCTACTCCGTACGAACTATTAACAGAAAACACGAAATCATATGGCCTTCTTCTCAGGGTAAGAATAAATGTGCTCAGCCATCCTTTAGGGCACTAATGACAGCTATTATTGTTTTCCGGCTGACTCTTGGCCGGTTCTTTCTCTTCTTTACTTTCAGACTAGTAATTAGATTTAAATCCCTGACAGGACTTTAACCATCCCCCTAGGGGGTTCTAGGTTTCTTTACTATTGCTGGAAAAGATTTTATTTTTAAAAAGCCCTGTGAAACTATAAGTAAGTTACCCTAAGCAATAGCTTTAAAAAAAAATCTATTATCTTGTGAAGTCTTTTGAAGAACACATGCTGCTCTCTCTCATCTCACCTTGAGAGATCAACCCTTATTTTTAGCTCCAATTTGAAGAATAAAAATACCCAGGAGGACCAAAGAAGGTAGACTCATAAAATGTTGTTTTCATCGGCATCTGTCACTGCCAGGTTCACTTGGACAGGAATCTTGTTTTCATTCCCGCCCGCCCCTAATTTGTTTTCTACATAGAGTGAAAATTATCATGGTTGTTTTGCTTCTCAGGGGGAAAAACTAAAAAACGTTTCTTTGTATGAATAAATTAATCTTTTTGGCCTCTGTGCTGAGTTGCTTTGAGCAAGGCATTTTGAGGCAAGGTCTTGAATAGAGCTGTTTACCTGCCACCATTTTGCTGTCCTTGGACACCCAGGCTGATTTGTGACAGTACTAACATGATTATAATTATGGAAAGCAGATTTTTCTCCAACTCAAAGGGGGCACTTTAAATCCTTTGAGGAGCAAGACAGAGTCATAGAAATAAGTACCTGGCTCAGGTGGAGATGCCGGCCTCATTAACACCTGTTAAAGCAACTGAGTGGCCTCCCACGGGACTCAGTCAGTCACTCAGGAAAAAAAAGAACCTGTTCTGAGACCTTCTTATCACTTTACATTATGAATCCTTTGGAGAATCCCAGTTGCTTTTGAGGAGGGAGGCCAAGCTTGTTGGTCTCTGTACTAAGGTTAGTCTATTCATAAAGAAAATTCTGGCCAGAAGGTCCAAGAATAAGATTTGGTAACTATTCCATTCAAATGCTTTAGCCAAATGTTTTCCAGCAGATTGAATTTAATATTTTTCCAGGGACACAAAAATAATACAACAGTATTTTATTTTACTAAATGTGATGCTTTTGGAAAAAACTCAACTGAAGAAAATATTTTTGTACAATTTCAAGCACAATTTTTTCAGGCAATTAATGAAAACCCCACAATCTATCAATCAGCTTAAAGCATAAAGAAAGATTCCACAATTTTCTGATAGCTTTCGTTGAATACTAGTGAGAAAAACTGATATTTGTTGATGTTTTCAAATATATTCCCGCATAGGATCCAGAGCAATATTTTCTGTTCCATTTAGTAATAGTTGTTACCAGAACAATTCCTGTTGATAGCTAGGCATATAGCTAAAGATAGGAGATATGGGCTCTATTGAATCCAGCATAATCAAAATTTAAAAAATCCAAGATGTATACCTAACCAATTCAACCGCGAGAATTGAACACTTGATAACATTGTAATAAAGAAAGGTTTTTTGAGGTAACACATTTATGTATCCTCTCACTTGTAAAAATGAGGTTTCTGAGCAGTACATTCTAAAAATGTGTGGTTGAGCTGCGGGTGGTGACTGCCTGGGGAGCAGGAAGCACTCCTGGAGGAGCTGCTGGGCGCTGGGGTGGAGGTGTGCCCATGGGCTCTCACCCAAGGCCGTGGGCAGCCGTTCCTTCCAGTGCTGGGGAAGGGGAAGCAGCAGTGGGCAGAGCAAAGGACCCAGCACTTCCCAGTTGCCCTAGGCGTGAGAGGGAGAGAGATCTTCACACAGAATGTATTACATATACGATGGTTGGTTTGTACACAAAAGTTCACTTTACCCACAATACAGCTTAACTACATCATCCCCCAAATGATGTTAATAAACATGACTAAGAAAGCCTTTATAGATTGATTGAAAGGGCTAAATTACTATTTATTTTTAAAAAATATTATTTTATTGATTTATTTTTAGAGAGAAAGGGAGGGAGAGAAACATCACACGCCTCCAGCTGGGGACCTAACCTGCGACCCAGGCATGTGCCCTGACTGGGAATTGAATCGGCAACCCTTTGTTTCAGTCCGGTGCTGAATCCACTGAGCTACACCAGCCAGGTAAATTATTATTTATTTAAAAAAATAAACAGAGAGCTTCCATGGAGGACATACTTTAAACAAATGCATTTAAAATTGGTAAACAATCCATTTGTTTAGGAAGACGATTTGGTTATGTGTTGTCACTTTAACCTTGGGGAATTTCACAGGCAAGTCTCACAAAATGAGAGTGGTCTTCTTTTTATTTTTTTGGAAGGCAGGCCTATCGTCAAATAGGATTATTTTAAGAGGAGGATCCCGGAGCCCAGTACCATGCCATGGTGTTGCAAGGTCTATAAGAGAACAATAGCGTTTTGAACATCTGCAAACTAGCATCCAGGCTGACACCAGATTACAGACTTTCCAATCACTTCTCTGAAAATTGGACTCCTTACTAAGCATTTCTTATTGTAAAATTGGGAAAAGATACCTGCTCTTTCCCGACTGCCTATTATCAGAGCTGAAAAGCTACTGCGTCCTAGGCAAATGGCCAAATAAACGACTGCTAAGCAGAGTTCTGATCATTAAATCCACTGTCACTCCTATGCAGTCCATGGTGCTGTCTTCAACATTATCCTCACTCCAATTATCCATAACTCAGGGCTAAATACTTCATTTTCCTCTGATCTTAAGGATGGGTCCTTGAGCATGAAGCTCACAGGTGCAAAATAAACACTTGGTGTAGAGTCCCAGCACAGTCTCACTTCTCACACCAAATTCTGTCAATTGTGCTCGAATCACTGAGTTACTGGTGAAATCATGCCTAACATGGACGGTGTTACCATAATCCACTATTTTCTAAAGGTGTCAAACCTGAGGCCTTGAGCTGGAAAGGTGCCGCACAAAAATGAAATCCAGTTGCACTTGGAAGCTTCCACCTCCATGGGAGTTCTAATCAGGTTGAGGAAGGTTCTGTGCCACACAGAACAGCTTTCAGTGCAGGAGGTAGGCCATTAAGTGCTTTCTCAATTCCATTAGTTACTCCTGCTGAGGCTGAAAAAGTCCTCATAAATGCGTAAAAATTAAATTGCCTATGAGGTAAGGAATGAGATAGTATTTTGGTGCCAAATACTATTCTCCGTTCAAATGGTCTACAATCACACAGAGAATGCAGTCAGGGCTGTGTACCTGCAAGGTACGCAGGACTGACTAGGAATTCTGTGCCCCAAAGCTAATGACAGTTCATCATCTGGTAATAATCCCCTGATTTTGCTTCAGGTTAGTTTCACTTCAGGCCTCCAGCACTACTCCAGACGGAACCCATCGTCTCCATTCCAGGCCTTCCTTCCCAAATTTCACCCAGGCCTCAGGCTGGCTCAGTTAGAGCATCAGAGATGCCTGGCCTCCCTGAGAGCGCGGGGCACATGACCCGGTCAGAGCTCCAAGGTGCAATCTGGGGAGGATGGGGTTGCTGAGAAAGGAAGATGAATTTTTTTTTTTTTTTTAAAAACCTCTCACTACAGGATATTTCTTGATTTTATAGAGAGGTAGGGAGAGAGAGGGAGAAACATCGACTTGTTGCCCCCCTACAAACCCTGACTGAGGACTGGAGATCAAACCTACATCCCAGGCATGGGCCCGACCAGGAATTGAACCCATGATCTTTTGGTGCATGGGCCAACACTGCAGCCAACTGAGCCACCCAGCCAAGGCAGAGACGCATTCTTTTTTTCTCTCCTCTACTCTCCCTGAACTTGGAAAAAGGTGGATCTGGGATTGCAGTCAGCCCTTTGTCCTCACTCGAGATTTGGGAAGGAAGGCAACAGCGGGGAGAGGAAAGCTGAACGGTGGCGAGACACCGGATCCTTCTGACACTGTTTGGCGCCCAGAATCCGGCTGTACATCTGAATTTTCAGTTAGGTTAGCCAATAAATCCCATTTTTCTTAGATTTAGGTTTTCTTTCCCTTGTAATCAAAATAGTCCTAATTGATAACCACTGAAAATGGAGAATTGTTTTAATTTACTGTTCAGCTTTGGAAGAGGCTTATATCATTCTACAGACGAGGAGGGGTGCGGAGGCGCAGGTGGGTGGCTTGTCTTACCTGCCGAGGTCCTCTGCTGGTTAGCAGCACAGCCAGGACTACAGCCCAGGTCTCTCACTTTCTCATGTGATGTCTTCACTATACCGTGGGAAAAATGAGCACATGGGGCTGGTTTAAAACTTTTAATTAAAACTTTGCTCCAGTTAAAAGTTTACTTATTGTACATTATACGTTAAAAACGAATTTATAAATTAATACTTTAAGTCATCCTTTTCATTGTTAACTAGCATATAAACTTGAAAACACAGTGATAAAATTTCTCAGCTGTGCTGTGGTCTGCTGTAGTAGCAATAGAAACAGCCCAACAAAATAGTTTAAAATGTTTTATTAAGTATATGTAATATTACAGGGTAATATTTACAAAGTTATGTTTTTTAAATAAAAAATTACCTTGGTAAAGATTGCAGATATTCAAAGCTTCAACAGTGATAAATTGCTTTAATACATATTTAAAAAAAAACAAAACCTTTAACGGTAACACAGCTGTAAAACAACTTTGGTCTTTAAATCACTGCAAAAATGGCTACCGACAAATAGCACACCTTTCATTGCTATGGAAAAAAGCCCCCAACAGAGGATCTTGCACATAGCAACACTGGATTTCTCTTTACCTAGAATGGTTAATGGATATTCATCTGGTATGGAATATAATTTTTCAACAATGGCTTTTTGTAAATAATTCTCCATTTAATAAGAACAAAAATGTTTCACTCTCTCATCTACCCTGATAACATGTCTAAGATTCCACTGAAGTTGCCTTACAGAGAAGCTTATAACAAATGCTCTTTTTTTTCCAAAAGGCTAAATTTTGGGAAAACTGGTCTTAAATGATAAGTAAGAGCTGTCAAAAACCAAAGGCAAGAAAACTGCCTGTTCACTGCTCATCTCTTGAAAGTTCCCTGGATTATTCCTATTAGCCACAGAAAATGATTTGACAAAGGACCCCAGTGGCTGATGGCAGTTAGTGATTTTGAAAACATGACACATGTAAAACTGTTTCTGAACATCCTGTCCATCAAATAAAACACAATAAGAAGATAAGGGTTGCCCAACAATAATTTCTCTAGTTTCCAAGGATAGGTAAATGAAGGGGTATGTATTTCTATACATAACACCATAAAAGTCCATTTTTGAACACTTGTAGGACAAGAGAAATCTAGATGGTCATACAGAGCTTAATTCTTAGTAATAAGATAGAAGAGTAAACTTACCACTTTTGAGCTTTAAGTCAAACCACAATTTGTTTGGTCAGTTACTAAACTGACTACAACATCCTGAAAAAAAAAAATAATGCTCCTAATTATGGGACAGCCTCATTATTTTCATTCTGACATCTTCAGGAATTTAAACAAGAATAAACCTGGAGTTTCCAGGTGAAAAAATCATCACCTTTGAAGGTTTTCAGAGCATGTGAAATTTGTCAAAAAGAGAAAGCTCTCTAGCTCACCCTATTAAAAATAGTGGAATATCTACATACAGCTAACTCTCAATCACCAAACACATACTGAGTATCTAATGTAGGCAAAATGCTGCAGGAAGAGAAAAGAGGGGAAAAAAAGCTCTTGCTATGGAGGAATTTTCAAATAAGTGAGAGAAAGTAAGACAAACCAATAGAGCTAAGCAGAGACACACGAAGAACTGGGAAAGGTAAGTGAAGATGAATAGAGGCAGGTAGGCAGATGGGGAGAGACTGCAAAGGGGAGCCAGCGGGGAAGGAAGGGCTGGAGGATAATGTTTTGAGGCAGAGGAAAAATCTGATTTGGCCAGAAAGGTTGAAAAGGTTGTTGCAAAAATGACAGATGGCATCACTCTGAGGACATACAATAAATAAAATTGAACAAAAGAGTCAATGGCAAAAATCAGATCAGTGAGTAAAAATCAGATTATGGAGGGAATAGATGTATGATGCCCAAAACATTGTTAGCAATTTTCATTAGGTGTGACAGAAAATTGGGAGCCATCGCAAGTCTGATGGAAAGAGAATGAACTGGCCCAATGATGCCCAAGCAAGACGGCTGCTGCTGCTACGGTCCCTTTTCCAGGGAAGCCGACAGCTGGCAAGAGGAAGTTGATTTCTTCTGGCTTTTCTCCTGCCACCTCCCTCTGTTGTCTAGGGCAGTGAATGCCTCAAAAGATAGGCAGCATCAAAGAGAACACAGAGGATGCGTAAGTCCCAAGAATGAACCCCAAATAAAGGAGAGTCTACTACGTATTAAAAGGTATGATGTTTAGTTTAGTTTATTAAAAAGTTGACTATAAAGATTTTCATACTTGACTTTTTCTTAATAGAGAATAGGAATTTGGATATTTTAAGTCCATCAGCTTTTTTCCTCCTTTCATCAAAATTGATTTCTAAAGTAATAAATGATATTACTAAAATATAAATACTTTCAGAAGGAAAAAGAGCAGCAGGAGTCATGAGACTGGTATAAGGGAATACAGCTCCCTCCACATATGATAATATTTTGGCCAGCAACACAATTAGGGAAAAAAATTTTTTGTTTGTTTTTTTCAAGAACTGTCTTCATAGGGGGTCCAGTTTTCTGAGAGGCATCAGCAGGTCATAAATTTGGATTTGCCACGGGCAAACCACTTGGTCCCAACATGAAAAATTCAATTAATTTGGCATAAAAGAGGCACACGGGGACATTTGGTGGACTAAGAAATAACTATCTGTAACGCAACTACAAATGTGAATGTCTTATTATTATTATACAAACCAGAAGAATCACTAGTATTATTAGACGGTACTGGTGAGCAGTCAAAAGACTTGGCAAATTACTAGAAGTTTTTAAAGTTTTAAGTGATCAAATATTTGCATCGAATATAATCCCACCCAACAAAGACCTCTGTTTTTAAATGTTTTGCTAAGAGCATGAATTAGCATTTGCTCTCCTGTAGGCACCCCACTGCTGTCCATACAGAAGATGCATGTGCCTACCTCATACATGTGCACATATAAACACACACCCACAAAGGAAGAAAACGAGTGCTAATAATCTAAAAGTACTCCAGGCGATCACAACTGTCAGAATGTTAATTTTTTTCTAACAGGGTAGAAAACGTGGGGGTTGTTTTACTTTTCAATCTTAAAGTCAGGGGAATACGAGGCAGGACTACAGAAGGAAGATAATGAGTGTTTATCATGCAACATAGATACAACAGCAATAAAACCCCCCTTTTGAGGGCTGGCCCATTGGCCTGACAGTGACACACATTATGTTGCCATGCAGGAAACACATAGTTAAAACCTCAATCTTGGTTTTTCATGCCCCAGATCAGAAAAGAAGTGAAGAAACACCGTAGATTGTGCCTTCGAATCCAAGGAAGGGAATACATATGTTACAACCATCACTATTTTTGCTGACAAGTGTGAACGTAGCTCTCTGAGAACAAGTCTGGCTCCTTTCTGCAATGATGCTACCATGTCTCTGGACCATGTTCAAAGAGGAGAAAAGGTGCTACATCTTGTACAGCAGAAGCAAGTAACAGGAGGACAAGACAGGGTTTAAAGGGTTGTGTGAATAAAAGAAAAAGACATCCATCAGTAAAACTACCCTAAATCTGGCAAGGGTCTGTTACACTTTACATTAAAGGAAGATTATGTAAATGGCAACCCCCAAGAATGAAGACCATAATCTCCGCCACTACCACATACCACGTAAGCAGCACACAAAATGTTTCCAGCCAAATTCCTGTCTGCACTTAATTTGTTATTCCCTTGATCCAGAAGTGGCAGACACACATTATTCAGTTAACACCATTAACTGCCAATGTGGCTACAAACCTGAGTTTGCCAAAGTCTGATGGAAGCCCCTGTTCATCAGCAATATCTCTCGGTAACCACCAGGTTAACACCAGGTAATTCTCAAGTTGAACCAATTTAAACTGGTGACCGAGTCAAGAGGTCCTAAGGATCTGAAAGGCATCATTCTTGGAAGTTGCCCACTCTACTTTGCCCCTACCTGAAGAAAAATAACAATAAAATATTGGATCTCAATTGGGCACATGACACAGATCATAATTCTTTTATTAACTAAATCACAAATGCTTTGAATACAAACTTAACTGGAATGACCATTTAAAAGTCAATGATTTCATTTTTCTTAGAGATGAAAGTGAGTTACTTTTCTTTTTTCTTCTCTTGAACAGTGAGGAAATCAAGGCCGTGGTACTTAAACAGAAGTGCATTGCTTTCACATCTTACTACTCTCCAAATCTGAGTCCATCACTTCAATTCAGTTAGTCTGAAATATTGAAAAATGAGCATTAAATACTATTCGTGTCTCTTTTCTATGCACTAACACGTTGATGTAGCTTACAAATTTGAATTGTTTGAGATACATAATATCTAAAAATAAAGACAAGGTATTTAATCTTAGCTTTGCAAAGGTCACACATATAAACCAGGCAAACTGTTAGCCTTTTTGTTTGCAGTAAGTAAAAGGGCAATGGCAAATGAAAATAAAGATCAACCAAGACTAGTCATTTCCATTTGCTGGATTAGCTTGAGGAGAAGCCAAGAGATGTTAATTATTCAAAGCAAAAGATATTGCTCATAGGTTAATATTCCATCACATTCACTTTAGATCTACATCACTCATTTAATTTAAGTGAAATAAACATGTGATTAGGTATAAGTGAAAGAGGAAATGGCACCATGATCCCTAGGAGGGTACTCTGAACCTCACTCGCTGACAAGGCAGACACACTGCGAGCATCGTGCAGTTAGTTGTCAGCTGGTAAATCCCAGCAGACAGACATTTATTTAAAAATAACTGGCAAATTCTGAACAGCTAAATGTTAGTAAAATTAAAGAAATTTCAAAGGTCATTATAGATTTTACATGCTATAACAAACAAAAACTGCTGTTATCTCCAGATACCGTGGATCAAAGAAAGTTACGTCTTAAGGGAACTTAACAAAGGAAAAGGTACTAAAGGTTCTTAATACTGACAGTGGAGAAAAAGAGTTCAGTTTCTTTATACGCAGAATGACTCGACAGTAGGAAAAGAACAGCAAAAACAAAACAAAACAAAACAAACAAAAAAACCCCAAAACTTAAAAAGAGAACACTAGAATAAAAACATGAACAAACCACAGCACAATTCTAGGCACCAGTTTTTTAAAAAATACCATTTAATTTTTAATTAAAAAACTATGATTTTTTGGAGGGCCATAGTATAGTAAAACATGCATTTTTGTAATAAAGGCTGTGACACAAACCTACAAAAGTGGGATCATTCTGTACCTCCTTGTTGAACGCAGCCTAAACATTGTTTTAAACTTAACCTACCAACACATAATAGGGTTGTTTTTACTCTTATGCAAACATTATTGTACTCAGAGGAAGCTGTACTCAGTGCAGCTTCTTGAGTTCAATGCTGCACTTTGCTCCAGAGGCAAGCAGGTAGGTCACAGACTTTAAAACAGTAAAATGAAAAGTGAACTGTTTAAATGATCAAGGCATGACTGTAAACACCAAAGGTATGAAGGTTTTGATAAGATAAAAACAGAACTGAAGAATCATAGCATGTTAAGGTAAAATTAAAAATGAGTGCCATAAGTGCATTCAATATCTCTGACTTCTTTAGAACAAATGTATATCTTCGAAATATTTAATAAAAGTTTTAAGTTGTTAGCCCAGGGTCCCCCGACACAAGCAAAACCTGGAGTGACTAAACATTTTTCTCTCTGTTTCTTTAAATCCTCTCCCAAAAGGTTAGACCCAGGTTCCTTTGTGGAAAAGTAGAGATATTAAGCCTCCACGGATTATATGTAACAAAGTCACCAACACAAGCACAAAGAAACTCTGTCAAGATTATAAAGATTTGTGCCAGGCTATCTGTGTCATATAAAAACCATTTTAAAGTTACAATTACCAGACACTGCATCTAAAATATGCTTTTTAAAAAGTGGTAATTTCTCTTTGCTATGAGCAATATGACTGCAGAGTCTGATTAGTGACACCCTACAGCTTTTATGTTACTGTTTTGTGATTTTAACAGAGTAGATTTAAGTTTTATAAATCAAGAAATGTAAACCTTTATGATTTGACAGTGTCCCTTTTATTGAAGAAGCCATAGTTTCAAGAAGCAATTTTATTTCTTTTCAATGTCCATATTTTAAGCAATCTACAACTGTAGGTGTATTTTACACTTACCATCATTCATCATTCCCTTTGATTCTTTAAATGCTAAGAATTAGTGACAAGCCAAGCAAGCAATTAGTAAGGTTCCACAATTAAAAATCACTTGTAAATAAACAAATATGCAGTAACAGCATGCCAACTATCCCACAGCTATAAACCCCAGTTCATTTTGAGGCATCTGATTACAGTGCCTTTCTGTGGATCGCACCCAGAGCCCCCACCAAGGAAACACAGTCAGTTGAGAATATAAATCTAGATTTAGGGTGACTGTGAAATGTTTTGGCCTCCCTCCATGGTGATAGGCTCTATCATTCCAAATTTGTAAGTCAGAAATAAAAATTACTTGAGATTTTTCTATCCTGGGAGTGCTACCCTTCACCACGGCCAATCTAAAAAGGCAAGTGCCCCTCGCCCAGTATCGCTTGACTAATGCATGCAACTGCGCTGGGAGACGTAGAACAGTGCATTTTCCTCAGAGGTGAGAACGTTACAAAAGCAATACTGATAATTCCTGATTAATAACCCCAAAAGAGAGGTCAAGGCAAGGAAAAAAGCTAGATTCTTCCCAAGACATGCACAGATCATTCTAACTGTTTTGCCGACCAGTTCAAGTTATGATCTGGTAACGGATGAAAAAAATATACAAGTTTCCAATAAGCACATACCATTAAGCGGTTCCTCAACAGCTTTCTGGAAAATATTTAAAATGTATGTATAGAAAAATAGAATTTATTTCATATCCTTCATACTGAAATTTACATAAGCTACCATTTAAACTCTATAGTAAACAGTAAATCCTATAGTCCAAAAACAAGTCAATAAAAGTTAAAAGCAAAGCTTGCCAAGTCTCACTAATAGTTTACACTAATAGTTTAATAATACCTGTATGGTTCTTTTAACATTCATTACCTATGCAAAATTTCCCACTCCACCCAGCCTCTCTCAGTTCAAAAAATCCTAACTTCTCAAAAATTATTGAAGTTCGAAATAAACTGCAACATAATAATACAGTTAAACGAGAAACAAGAGCAAAATAATCATTTTTAAGACATGCAAATTAAACTGAGTAACAGGGAAAGAGAATGTGTTAGGGTTTGAAGGTCTCATAGCTGGATTATCCCTAACAGGCACATTAAAAACTGCTGTGTGTTTTTGACCATTGTAGCTATGGCACCAATCTTTTCAGAACAAATTATCACCCAGACACACCCCTTCTCTCTCTTGCCTTTCAGGCTGGTCTGTTGAGGCTTATCAGATTTAGGAGCAGTGTAATCTCCACTTCCTGCACACACTTTCGACATTCCAGATACAGCTATCGTTAAATCCTTTATAGGAGGTGAGTACAGCATAGTACTTTCCAGGTTTTATTTGCATCAAGTAGCTCTTGCGCCTGTCATCACAATGAATTTCTATTTATAAAGGGTTTTTTTTTAACCCCCTCATTTATTCCTCTTGGTCTATCTCCTAAATTTACTACTTTTGTTGGAATTTTCTCAGATAGCTTAATAATGTATCCAAGATACCGTGAAAACTACAGTACAGTTTAGAGGAAGAAAAATGCTTATAAAATGAGGCACAGAGTGAAATAAATCATAATTCAGAATAGGTGATTTTAAAGCGATATTTACATTTAAGAAATTTTAACTTACCCTAGGAGGTTGTATACTCCTCTGATTAGAAGCTGATAAAATTTAAAAATAAGGTAATACATTCAGTAAATGAAAGCAATTAAAGCAATACACTGTTCAATTTTAAAATAAAATGTTCAGGCTAAACCTAGAGGTGCCGGAAAGTCCACTGAAAGAGTTCCAGTTTTGACAGTCTATTAAAAAAACAATACAGAACATTCCTGATTAAAGTAACTGACAGAATAAAATGATGCGAATAATCCACCTACATCAATTAATAAAAAGATGCACTCGCTCATTTGCACATGCCATGACGCCCCCTCCTTTGGGGCGGAAAAATGCTGTCATCTACTCACACCACTGTAGACTCTGTATCCCTCCCCACTAAGTGGAGGGAATGTGACAATGACCAGTCTCTGCCTTCACTCCACCTCCCACCCTTAGCTCGCTGCTCTCGTTCCCTCTAGCCTAGTCTTTTTTCTTTCTTTCATCTTTCAAGTTTTCAAAGCTCCAGATAGCTAAAATGAAAGAAAATACTCAGATCCCTCTGAGTTCAAAGAATTATTCTAGACAGATAGTTAGCTGCAACCAGGCCCTTCTCTATATGTATGTTCCTTCTAAGCTTACCCTTCCTCGCTTCTGAATGCGTTGGTTAATGAAGGTGAAGGAATACAGGGCAGGAAGAAAGCGACAAAAGCGAAAAGAATTGCTCTAGTTGCATAGAGGAAGAGAAAACTTTCTTATAAAAACCGAGTGAGGAGGACCCAGAGCAGCTGAAATCAGTTCTAAATACAGAATCAGAGTCCTACAGATAGATACAAAAACATCAACCAGCAACAACATCCTGCGAATGACTCTGTAGGAGGATGATGCTACTGGTTAGTCAATTCCACTACTCTCTGAATTGGATGATAGGACTGGATTTGCTTTTTAGCAGACTGAGGCAGGATGCCCCCAGAACTGCTCTAGTTTTCTATGCAGTTCTAGTTTTCCAGATTATTTACTATCCCTCCATACCCACTTTATGAAGCTCCCAAAGCTGATGGGAAATGGGAGAACTGACCCAAGGTCAGCCACTCTATAGGTGAGCCAGAAGCTGAAACAGGGAAAATCGCAACCGACTGGCCTGGAAAGTTTCTTTATCCTGTGGAAATCTGAAGGGGGAGAAACGGAATGAAGACTAGAAAGTTGGTGATGGCAGAGGAAAGTGATAAGGAAAGTAAGCAAGGAGAAGCTCAAAGCTTAGAGCCCTAGGTAAGAAAAGCTGGCAGTGAGAAGACATAAATTGGATGAAAGGTAAGGACATAAAAGGAGAGGATGAGCTAGTTGGCTAGTAGGCAAAGGACGGAGAGAAAGAAACTAAGTAACTGTAAATGGAGGAAGTGTTAACTGACTCTTGCTCCTGAGAGGGCAACATGACAACTCAGACCTTTTGAAACATACTTCCAGTTCCTAAACTAGTTACCGCTCCACCCTCTGTGAGGCCCAGTTATGTACGAGGGGGGACCCACAAAAAATCTGGGCTTGTCTTCCGGAGGGCAGGCCTCTTGGAGTACAGGCTTCCCTTGGTAGGCGAGTGTTCTAGTAACCCATGTGTATCTGTGTACCAGCTGGCGTTGTTATGAGAGGCTCCGTTCGGCTTCAGTGAAAAAAATTTTTGAAGGCTCTTTTAGCACGTTTGCCCATTTCATGATGGGCGATTTACCAGTGCCCCTGCCTACACTGCGCTGAATATTCAGCAGTTTTTGACCAGAAAGGGCATGACCCTCATGCCCCATCCCTCCTATTTCTCCAATTTTGCCCTGAGCAACTTTTTTTTTTGTTTCTCCAATGAAAAAAGCCCTCAAAGGGAAGTTGGCCAGTGTGGAAGAAGTGAAACAAAAAACGGCAGAAGCACTAAAAGGTATCAAAATTGATGAGTTCAAAAACTGTTTTGAACAGTGGAAAAAACATCTTGATAGGTGTGTATTGCATCTAATGGAGATTGCTTTGAAGGTGACTGAAGTTTAAACACATCAGAATAAATACACGATTTTTTATAAATAAATTCTGGGTTTTTTAGGTCCCCCCTCATATCTGCTCTCATGAGATTCCCATCTGTTACTGTCATGTGTGGCTTTAAAGTAAAGCTCCCTTACTGGAAGTGCAAGGAGAGTGGTTTGGTCCTAACCAAACAAGAAAGCTTCTTTTTAAAATACTATGGAGTGCAATGGGTTTGGAACATGAGTGAATTCACAATTAGCAAACTTTCAAATAAACCAGGCAGAGTTACAGAAATTTATTAGGCAGCATCATGACTGTTACATGTATATGTAACACACTTCAGCTAAGCCATGCCCTCTATTTATGTTCTGTCCAGGAAAAAAAGAACTGAACAGCTATGTAAGTTACTGATTGGTAATGAGAAGGGTCAGAGGTAAGATTTTAGAGTTATATTTTTGAGCTCAGATATTTATTCATTAGCATTAGTACTAAGAACTAGTTGCTAAGTAGCTCCTTTTCTATGCTAATCACATGTAAAAAGTAGTTTGTGAGTTCTAGTTCTCAGGCACAGGAATATCGCAATTGGCTAGCCAATTCTGAAAAAAAAAAAAAAAAAAAGAAGAGATCTGTAAAGAACAGTGATTCAAAGGGACACAGATCAGTTGTGATCCCTTTAATATTCTATAACCAACCAGTACAGAAGTTAATTTCACTTGAATTACTCCTCTCCAATAAGCATATGACCTATGTAACAAAAGAATGACTGTGATTTATCTGCTGCCACTGTGGGCCTAAGGCATTGACAGCCATAGCTACATATTTTTAAAACCTCGAAGTCTTAAGTATTTCATATGAACTCACTTGCAGTGTTTCTTGATTTGTTCTCTCCCTGTAACACTTGACACATACCATAAATACATTAATATTTCTAGAATTTGAACTTTCAGAAACACTTTTTTTTCTGCTGAGACCAGATGCACCTTTCCTCAACAATGGGCAGGAAAATATCACTAATTTATATGTATATTCTATGTCATTCTAATATATTTGAGATGTGGTAATTATGGTTTCTGAAAACTTGTAGGTTGATTTGTATCAAAACATGACTATATGTACTTGTCATGGCTCTAAAAATTAACAAGTATATAAACACCCTATATAAATAGCAAGCCTAACTTTATAGAGTTTAGTAAGTTCCTTTTAATCTTCAATATGCTCTCACATTGTTATTGTACCCAGACCCGAATTTCCTTTCATAAAATTTAAACACTTCCATTAAAAAGATATCTAACATAATTAAAAGACCAGAAAAAATGCAAGTTAAAATCTTACTCTTTAAAGTTAACAAGTAAGGCTACAAATTTAAATTTGGAAATAATGAAAATGATCAAAGTTAAACCTTTCATAGGGATATTAATTTAAGCTTAAAAAAATAGCTTGGATTTTTTTTTTAAAGCTATCTTAGGATTTTATTGCATTTGAGTCAAGTCACATTCATTAGACTTTTCCACAGCAGAACATCTGCAAAGAGTTAAAGTTATTTTGGAAACATTTACAATCTTTACTTCCTGATTCAAATGCTCAAATTTGCAACCTTAATGTTACATATACTCAGATTTATAGATTATATAAGAAAAACACATCCATTTTCCCCATCTAGTACAGTATCTAAAGAGCAACTTTCCTGTACCTTTTCTTTCTTCTTGTCCTTCAACTGAAGGAAGATGAGCCTCTGATCTCTAGTATCAGATAAGTTGATTTGAAAAGTCAATTTAGATTATCCTCACCACGTCAATAAAATTGTACTAAATTCTTAACTTACATATGGTATATTTATATGTTAAACTATGATGATAAATTACCGGGGGAAATTTTCATAATTTCACTTTCACTTTGATTTTAATGTGAGAACAATACGTTTGTAATTATACTGGTTTCAGAGGTTTCTTAGGGAAGTCAGCAATTGGGGGGGAGCAAGGTCAAGGGGGTGGCAGCTGGACAGTGCATATTTCCGCCTGAGTCAGCATCTCCAGATCTCCTGGCAACCATACTGAACATCATTCTTTGTTATACGTGGAAGGCATGGGGGAGCATGCCAATAAAAGAGCGGGCAAGCCAGAAAATGAGGGGAAAAAAGAAAAAAGATCTGACCATCAGCCAGTGACACCAAATACTACACAATGTTATATGGATACTGTAGCTCACATACTGTTCTCAGGCTTTCATGGGGAGTGACATAATCAGTAGTGTCATCTCCAAGAACCAAACAAATGGTGATTAGAAGACTCAACGGAAACAGAATATGTATCAACATTCATAACGTGATGCTCACGATAGCTACCAAATGAATGCCATTCTGCTTTAGAAGTCTTAAATGTATGTTAGGGACTTAGGAGTCATGAACTAAGAAAATTTCATTGACAAAACAACTCTGGCTTTATGAACCCATAAACTAAAGATAGGTACATTTTAGTTACGTATTGTATTTTAACTGTTTATCTAATAAGCATTGATTAAAGGGAGACAAAGAATATGTAACAGAATTGAATTCAATGATCAGTCAGTAAAAGCTGAAGTTCAAAAATAAAGATAAAATTTCTTTGAAATTACTGTGCATGTCATATGGAACATTATTTCACTATTTGAATTTGTTAAATGCAAAGATTATTTGAATTTAACAATTCAACATTTGTATGAATTTTTAGAAACACATACAATAAAGGTTGCCTAAGCAAAGCAAAAGGACTGATATATTTACTCCGTTAGTTTGTAACTTTTTATTATTTTGATAGATGTTGAAAAGTTTGCTTTACTTTATAAATTTAAAAAAGTTTTTTTTTTTTTTTAAGGGAGACTAATATAAACCAGATTGTTGGGAACATCTTTAGGCATTATTAAAAGCATTTATCTCTATATATCTATTAAAAATAACTTACACAGTAAGCTGTCAACTGATAATTGGTAGATTAAATACAAAGTTTAGAAACAATAACCTAAATCCACACTTAGCAACAATTGATTTTAAAAATAATAAAAGCCTAAACTTTAAAATTCATATTTTAAAGTGAAGTATCAGAGGACACTTTAATTAGCAAAAAAAAAAAAAAAAAAAAAAAGGTGACAGATTTTGAATATCAATTCCTGTCCACTTATGGGTGTCAAGGTCTATAAACAATCTGCAAGAAGAGTAAGTGACAAATAGGTCTCCATCAAAGAGCTCTATCATAGAAAAAAATGGGCCAATTAAAAATCTTTTTCTATTTATTAAAGTGAATCCTCAACCAGCTCTCCTTTTCCAAAATATAAAAAGGTTTATACATTCTAAAACATAAAGTCATTTTCTTTTAAACTAGTCTATAATCTAAACTTTTCATAATTTATATGATTTCTACGCTCTTTTATGAGTTACCAATACATTTCTTTGATCCTAATTTCAGAACTACCCAAAAAGCATTTTCCAAGTTATACAGAGTGAGGCAAAAGTAGGTTTACGGTTGTTCACATGGAAAATCATAAAATAATTAATAAATCATAATACAGGAATAAACTGTTTCATGTACTCCCAACTGTAAACCTACTTTTGTCTCACCCTGTATATTTGAAATTCTTAGCATAGACTAACAAAAATAAAGTTAACTTACCATTAAATTTCATATAAACTAATCCAAGCAATTCTGCTAAAGCTACAATACCCAAACCTGAAATCAGAAGAGGACCATGCACTGGGGTACACTCTGTAAAAACAAATAAAATTTTATATTAGAAATTCACATGAAATAACTGAATTTCTTAAAAGAAATAAAAGTAATAATATCAAGTTTTAAGGGGAATAATTATTTTTCTCATTATCAAGAAACAAAAATTACCTACATATATTCATCCATTCTTCACTCAGTGAAATGACTCCAATTTTATTTTTAAATGACTCATTTTATTTTTTATTAAAATAAAGAACTCCTTGTTTGTGTAACATGTACCTTATAGCAGGACTAATGGAAGATAGTCTGTAAAGCCTAAGCCTCCACCACTTGAAGCCTCTGGTTATTTTAAAAGCTCTCCCCCGATTATAAGCAGTTTGGCTGCAAGAACAGCCAGCCCATAAGCCATATGTACCCAATGTGGAAAGCACTGATCTCAGTGGGGGCAAAGTGAGAGTTAAAAAAAAAAAAAGCTCACAACACTAAATGCTGGCAAAAATGCAGAGCAACAGAAAATGTTCATTTGTTGCTGGTAGGAAAACAAAGTGGTAGAGCTACTTTGGAAGACAGTTTGGTAATTTGCAAAACTAAACATACTCTTAACATACAGTCCAGCAATTGCATTCTGTAGTATTTATCCAAATGAAGTTGAAAAATTATATCCACACAGAACATGCACTTCTATATTGTGTGTCTAGATCTGTGATTTTAGAACAAATCAGTACTTTTCCAAAGTACTGAAAGCAACCAAGATGACCCTCATTAGGTGAATGGATAAACAAATTATGGTCCCTTCACACAATGGAATATTAGTGCTAAAAGGAAGTAAGTTATCAAGCCACAAAAATACATGAAGGAAGCTTAATGCATTCTAGTAAGTGAAAGAAGCCAATCTGAAAGGGCTAGATATTATATGTTTCCAAGTATAAGACATTTTGGAAAACGCAAAACTATGGAGACAGTGAAAAGATCAGTGGTTGCCAGGGTTTTCACGATAGGGAGGATGAATAGGCAGAGCACAGAGGAATTTTAGGCAGTTAAATTTTTCTGTATGATATTCTATGATTATAATCCATGTCATTACACATTTATCAAAATCACAGAACATACACCACCAAAGTGGACCCTAATATAAACTACAGACTTTGGGTGATCATGCTACGTCGATGTTGGTGCACCAAACTGTAACAAATGTACCACTCTGGTGGGGGATGTTGATAGCGGAGGAGGCTGTGAGTATGTGGGGTATAGAGGAACTCTCTGTATTTTCCACTTGATTTTGCTGCGAACCTAAAATGCTCTAAAAAATAAAATCTATTTGAAAAAGAATAAGAAAAACAAAGAAAAAGAAAAAAAAAAGAAAGAGCTCTGTCCAAGAGAAAGTCCTAGTAAGAAGAGAAATTGGGACTAGAGAAGAACGTGATGCTTACCTGAGACACAGAGGCTTAGTCCAACCACAGAGAGCACAAAGCCCAGCACCTGGATGACCAATATGGCAATGCTGAAGGAAGACATCCCAATAGCTGGAGCTTTAAGGAAAAAGCATGTTGAGAGTGTCTAAGAAGCAATCACTTCGACTTGTATTTTGTACAATCTAGGATAGTATCCTATGACCGAAGACGGACTCTGGGCTTCCCTGTCAGATGGTAGATGCTTTCCCAGTGATCTGAACTGCGGCATTCCACCCGAGTAATCAACTCCAGATTTACACACTCAGCACCCTTTTATTTTTGCAGTGAGCTGAGCTAGACTAGCAGTTTTTACCTAAAATCTTAGAACAACGTTGCTTGTACCACACTCGCGCATTTTATAATATGGCTATTTTATAATTGGCTATTATGCAGGGCATTGCCACATGCACACAAAATTGCTCTGGTGGAGACCCATTATGCAAGCATGCCACTGTAAACATCATGGCCTCTATGTTGTGTCTAGAGCTGCGTTTTTATATCAAATTAATACCTTCCAATGTACAGCAACCCAGAGGTGGATTGTAAGACCAAGAGTTAAATGTGCATATAGAAAAAAATGGATTCTTTGATAGTAACAAAAATGTTCAGTGATTTACTCCCAAAATGTAGTGAAAATGTTACCAATTACAGGTTGGAGAATACATATATGTTCTTTTAAAACTACAATGTTAAGATTTTCCAATAGCTAAAAATATATATATATTTCTACTCTTTATGATTCATAACTCTATAACTCTCTTTTGTAGAACTAGTTTTTTTTTCTTTTTTAAAAATGAGGCTTAGCAACAGAAGAGAATGGGAATGTTTACTATCTATTTATAACTTCAAGAAACTGAAATAAGAATGTGAAGATAATCATTTAGAAACTATACAGCACAATTTTTAAAATCAACTGACTTGTATTAAATATATCCAAATCACTTTTTAACAAAATAATTAAATACCTTGAAAACCTAATATAAAGTTAAAATGAATCCACATGGGGAAAATTTCACTAAGAATAGTTAGGGAGATAAACCAACTGCTATTATATTATAAAAAACCATACAAGAATATTTTAATCAAAAATGTCATTTTTTAAATGAAAAAGGTGAGCACAATTATGCTAAAACAAAAAATACTTACTCATCACAAACACAGAGTACTGAAGTAATATTAATATCACTGTAGGAACCACAATTAAACCAAGTCCACTGGCTTTCTTTGTTGAATATTCACCTATTAATAAATACAAATAATATTTAAAATATTTTCCTACATACTTCCTACTCCCAGGAAAGTCAAAGTACTTAATTTATTAAATGTATTTATAGCAATACTACTCTTATAAACTGCAGAACATTAAAAAATGTGCTTCCTCCCAAACTTCACACAAAATAAGTGACTACTGTTTTATTTAAAACCAAACTTAAGATATATAAATGTCAACATCTAAGATCTCAACATGTTAAAACCTTGAATTGGCTTTGCTTCCTTCTCTTACTGATCCCTTAATCTGTTATATTTAATCTATCCCAAAGTCAAAATAGTTATTCTTTCTGTCTTCTGAATTCATCTTTCCTCCGCACATCCTCACTAACTTCAGCTGCAAACAAACCTGCCAAATTTATGTTCCTAAACATTACACCCATACTGTGTTCTGTTCAAAAAACAATGGCTTTCTGCAGTCTCCACTTTGAGCCCCAGACTATCTTTGCTGTTCTTTCCATGGGCTGCATACTCTTATGTCCCATCCTCCAAATGCAAACGCTGTTTCATGTTGATTTGTTTCCCACATTTATTCCCTTATCCATGTCTTGACCAATGAAGTTTGCCTCTGTAGTGGGTTGAATGTTGACCTTAAAGATATGTCTACCTCCTAATCCCCAGAATCTATTAATATTAATTTATACAGCCAAAGAGTGAGTATTACATTATATGGCAAAGGATATGAATAAATTTAGGATCTTGAAAGAAGGAGCTTATACTGGACTAACTAGGTGGGCTGTAAATCCAGTAAGTGTCTTTGGAAGGGAAAGGCAGAAGGAGAGTTCACACAGGAAATCAGAGTTATGTTGCCACACACCAAGGAGGTGCAAAGACTGCCAACAAACACCAGAAACTAAAAGAGGTAAGGAATGGATTCTCTCCTAGAGTTTCGGGAGGTAGTACAGTCATGATGGCATCTTTATATTAGAACTAAGGTCTTCAAAACTGAGGAACTGCTCCTGTTTTAGACACCCAGTTTGTGGTAATTTGTTATAGCACCCTAGAAAAACTAATATTCCACCCCCACCCCCTGCAATGTTTTAAACCTTATTGATCCTGACTTCCTTCCCGGCAACTGTACATCTTACCTGGGACCAAAAGAATGGCTCCAACAATGACAAATGCGGTGAGCACTATTCCAGCAACAAATAAAAAAATGGTTTTCTCCTTCGCAAGACTGGAACTATATTTAAGTGCTTAAAAAAACAAAACAAAAAGGATTCCATGAACTCAATCGCAAGAAGTGAAGGCATTTCTGTAACTTAAAAAGTACAGCAACAAACTGATTAACTTCCTATAATTGAATAACACTTGGGTAACAACTGTTTCATATCATGTCAAGCTACCTCAATTCTTTTTTGTAGTAAGTCAATGGCTAACAGAGTCATGACAGTATAAATATGGATGCTGAATTTACAAGTGATGCTTTTATTCCCCTACATTTCAGAGATGAAGTCATATACATCAGGCTTTCTCAATGAACATTTAGGGCCAGGTAAGTCTTTGTGGGGGAAGGCGGTTGCTCTGTATATTATAGAATGTTCCGGAGCATCCCCGCCTCCCTACAAACTACATGCCAACAGTGGCCCCCCAGCTGTATCAATCAACAGGGTCTCTAGCCAGTGTGAAGTGTTCCCTGAGGAGTAAAACTGCCTCAGGTTTACAACTGATAGAGATACTGCTTAGGGGAAATAACTGACTCACTAGTAATATTGAGAAAAAGGCAACTTTGTTCCATCCTATATAAAATTAGTAAAGCATCTGGAAATCTAGGTATTTTGTTTTGAAAAAGCAGAATAAACATTGGACAAATCAAACACTCTTGAAATCCTGAGGGGAGGAAATGCTTAAATTGTTCAATTAAAATATTTTCATAGAAATATACTATAAATACTCAACAGAATTCATTATACATGTTATTTTTTTTTGATGCTAGCTCTACTGTCAAATATCTGGTACCTTCCTGAAAGAATAATGTAATGCATAAGCCTAATAAATATTATTTCTTTTACTGTATCTTCACTTTTGGGGTTTTGTTTTGGTTAATATTAAAATTAACTTTTTAGGAAGAAAGTTGTTAAAAGTAACCTAAAAGCAGACTGAGTAGCAGAGAGAAACAGTGCATGATTGAAAGTCTGTTTGGTTTCATCCAGGCTATTAAACAATATCCTGAGGGGGGACATTTTGAAAAATGTTGTATTTAGCATTACATTTGTTTCTACTAAAATGACAGATCATATACAGTTTGAACAACAAATAACCCCAAAATGACCATGCTAAAATCTATTTTTAAGATATTACAACCTAGGGTTATGTGATAACCTATGGTAAAGTATTTGAGGTACAATACAGGCACCCAAAGATTTTTAAAACTCACTATGTACTCATACTTTAGATTGTAAACCTCAACTCTATTCTCTTTAGGGGGAGATGGAGAGCTAATCAATCATCAGTCCTGAAGATGAGTAAGTGAAATTCACATTCATCAGAAAAGGGTGAAAAAACATTACAGCAGGTTCCCCAAGCTTTCATTTGATCCATCGGGCTGGGAAGTTACCCCCTCAGTCACATAAGTCATCACTATGACTCAGTCACGTCCCTGCCTTTTTGCAGGGCACAGATTTTCAGAAATTCCCTATATTCAAGACTCAAATATCGGTGAGGATAAAATTCAGTGTGTATGTTACAAATTTTCTCCAGACATCTGTGAGGTTTTCCATTTAATTCAATGCATACTGTTATCTAAATAGAACTTGAAAATTCTACATAAGGGTTATAAAATAGAAGCTGATTCAAATGCATCTCACAATTAAACATTCAAAAGATACTCTTCCAGGTTTAATTGAATACATAAAAGAGCTGCTAAGATTAAGCAGCAAGAATTCACCTTTAGAGTACAGCAGAAGTTCATGCAAAAAGGCTGACATACCATTCTTAGTAAAAATAAGAGTTTGACCCTTATATAAAATTCAACCTCTTGAGGCTTAGAAGAGTTAAAGAAAAAAAATAATGCCAACAATAGCAACAAAAATAAAACACCATAAAATAACTATGATTGACAGTGTTTTACCATAGAATGACCTTTTCAAAAGCTTTGCATATAAATATTGGAGGTAGCTTTAGTTTCTATTGATTGGTTCAACTACTATTTATTTTCCGGGCTACCTCCAGCTGTTCCTTAAATTAAGCAACCATGTCTATTTATTGATTTTTATGAGGGGGGATAGAAGGGGGAAGGGGGGAGAGAGAGAGAGAAACATCGACTTTGTTGTTGCGTTTATTTATGCATTCATTGGTTGCTTCTTGTATGTGCCCTGTACCCCTGGCCAGGGCTTAAGCAACCATTTCTAACAAATATATTAGTGAGATCTACTTATGTAAACACGGGTAATGAATGAGTATCTATCTTCATGTTTTCTTTAGTGAATCTTTTAAAAAGAGTTTCTTTTGACTCATTTTCTTTGCTCACAATGGCCACATTTTAGCACATCCCATAGCAAGTGGGGACACAGTATTTCGTAGCCCTGTTGTCAATTTTTTCATTGTAGCTAAAGGGTTTGGAATCTGATATAGATGTTAATAGAACTCAATAATCGTGAGGATCTTTTAATTTTTTTTTTGGTGATCTTTTTTTGTCCTTTAATAGGTAGATTTATCCTTATTTATCAAATCTATAAAAATTTGAAATGTAAACAAAGAAAATAAATTCAAATAACTTTGCAAACACTGGACATTAGGGTAAGATAATTTAATGTGTTCTTAACAGCAGGCTCTTATGAACTTCCTGGTATGATTTTCTGGCTGCTTGGCAAGACTATGTATTATAATTTTAAAAACCTGCATGCTTTAAAAGATTCCCCTCAGCTAAAAGTATTGAAATCAAAACACAAAATAAAATATTAGAAATAACAGTATAATAACTTTTTAAATACTTTTTTAGCACCGGTTTAGGTTTAAAACAAAATTCAGAGGAAGGTACGGAGAACTCCCACACACTCCCTGCCCCTATACATGTGTAACTCCCCCACTATCAACAACACTCACTGGAATGGTACTTCTTCCTCTTCTTTTTTTTTTTAAACCAAGGATGAACCTATATTGACACATCGTAATTACCCAAAGTCCATAATTTGCCTTAAGTGTCGTACATTCTTTGGGTTTGGACAAATGTAAAATGACTCATATCCATCACTATAGTATTACACAGCGTATTTTCACTGCCGTAAAAACCCTCCGTGTTCTGCCTATGCATCTCTCCCTGTACCCCACTTCTAGCAACAACTGATCTTTTCACTGTTTCCACAGTTTTGCCTTTTTCATAATGTCTTACAGTTGGAATCATACAGCATGTGGCCTTTTCAGACTGGCTTCTTTCACTAAGTAATATGCATTTTAGGTTTCTCCATGTCTTTTCATGCTTGATAGCTCATTTCTTTTTCTATATGGATGTATTACAGTGCATTTATCCACTCACCTACTGAAAAACGTTTTGGTTGCTTCCAAGTTTTGGCAATCATCTATAAGCTGCCATGAATATCCATGTGCAGATTTCTACGTGGATGTAAGTTTCAACTCCACTTGGATAAATCCCAAAGAGCACAACTGCTGGATCATCATATAAAATAGCATATGTAATTTTGTAACGAACTGCCAAACTGTCTTCCAAAGTGGCTGTGTCATTTTTGCAGTCCCACCAGCAATGTACGAGAGGTTCCTGTTGCACCACTAGCATGTGGTGGTGTATTTTCATTTTTAAACAGAACTTATAACCTACCTTAGTGCTACCTGACATAGGAATACCAAAAATATTGGAAGGCAATATTATATTTTTGTCAAGAAAATGGAGATTCTAAAGTTTTTCCTTTTATACCATCTATAAATATTTTAAACCATCTATAAATCTAGCCAGCTACTTTTCATCAATGAGTTAGGTCGCTTCATTCATTTGTTCTACAAATATTTACTGTATAGCTACAATGTGGCTGGCTCTTTTATTAGTCCATCTCAACCAAATGAAGATACAAAAAGATTACTTTATTCAAGAATTGACCGAATATCAATAGTTCATGTGACAATGAACTATTCTAAGTGCTGCCTCAAGACCCTTATGTTCTAATGTGCGAATAAGTGTGTGTTTGGGGCTGGGGAAGAAGTGAGTGATGGGAAGTGTTTCTCCCAGATCTTCCTCCTCAGTTAAATAAAAGGTGTGGGTCTATTCTAGCCTTAGAAAAATCCCCTTATGTAATTCACTCATGTGAATGAAGAAATGGGCATGTCTCTCTAGTCACCTGAAAAAACAGCTAATGTTAAAAACAGATACTCCAGTAGGGTTTTCTCTTTTCCTTGTCACTGATTTAAAGCGCATGTAAGACAGCATGCAGGTTGTGGCTGATGAAATCTAGAGCAATTAACAGGTCAATGTGGAGGTCAATGTGGAGATTAATGAACAACTATCATCTTAGATTTCATGATACTCGAAGACAGAATTTGATAAGCCCACATAGGCCCACACAGACCACAGTTCTGACACACATGAGTTTCAGTTACCATGATGTAGTTGAATAATACAAGTCCCCTAAAATTACCGTTCAAATTTCAGTACCACAATGTATTAATTAAGTAACTGCATAAAGTGCAAACTTCACTGCCATCTGTTTAGTCCACAAATCACAACATAAATAACAGATGTGTATTATGATCAGTGACTAATCATGTCACTTCTTTCAAAGACTGTTGGGGATTGGTCACTGCACATCTGTTATGCACCTCATGCATAGACAGCAAAGCACATGCTGTGTTACCTCCTGTTTTCTGGTGGTAAACCCCTGTGACATGTACAATGGATAATCCAAAGAGGAAACTGGGCAATAAAGATCAAAGAGCAAAGAAATGGGAAGTGATAATACTGGAAGTGAAATTCAAATACAACATAAATGACATTATGGAAGAAAGAGCTGACTGTGGAAATGTCAACACTACTGCTATTTAAGAGACTCTATGCCACCAGAGAAACTTAGTAAAAGTGAACTTATTGGCATAAATTAGGACAGTGAGGAGGTTGTGACACAAAGAATAAAGATGTCCCATAAGAAGTGACTCTGGCAAGAAACTTCTCGTGAAAGGAACTCTTAGAGATAGTCCATGACACTGAAAATGCAAAGGATAAAACCCTGGAAGCTGATATGAACTTAGAGGG